CATGTTAATCGGAGTGAAGAAGTAGGTCGACCTCGTTTTCGCAACTTGGTCGTCTTTTCAGAGAGACTTAGTTTGGCGTACCTTGTCCACAATTCTCGGCCATAGTAGTTGGCATAATTCCCAGTTTCAGACCTATGACTTGGCACATTCTCAGACATTTCGCCAGCACCGTAGTCGGTACCGTCAGTGATTCTAGCCATTATTAGCACCACACAAAAACTAGTAAAGAGACTTCACTTGTATCTTTGACGAGATGTAGTGCGGTACTCACTGACGATGCTGACCACGATGCCGGTGAAACGTCTGGGAATGTACCAAATCCACGATCCGAATCTGGAAATTACCATGACTACAATGCACTCCGGACAAGGTGGTTTCCTTTGGATTTTTTTGCCAATATGACCAAATTGCGAAGAGAAGGTCAAACAACTACTCATTCATGAAGTTTATCCGACTTATGTAGACACTACTTAAAACGAAATAAAGCTATCTAAATTAATATGGATAGTTACATGATCATTTAGTTGATCTTCTTGACAGTGATCCAAGTAAATGTGTGCTTGAGTGTGTTTATACGTGTATACGAAAGCAACTGTTATAATTTTGAGTAAATAGAACAACACGTAACTTTAGTCCTGGGCCATCAAGGGTGATGATCCAAAGAAAACTATGACCAATTTCTTAATACACATGATAGGTCTGGATGAATTAATGAGAGTCACAAATGCGTTCACCTAATGTGAGTGTGTGACCAGTTAAGTGGCACGTCAAGTACTTATTAGCCAAATTTCTATCTCCATAGTCCCTAATTTATTAAAGTCGACGGCCTTTTCTATCATGTGTTTAAAAGTAGATGCACATAACTCAGCAAAATGATGAGTTTTGGGCAATTTGTCCTTTCATGAAAGTGGAAGTAGTTCAATTTATTGGGGGGTTTTCCGTAAAGACTATATACTAATTCTGGCAATGTCTTTGTATTAATGAGGCTTTCAGGACTATCAACAAATCACTCAGGGTCGTTTAGGGTGATGAGACAGGGATACGAATTTTCCAAGATTAGGTAGACTACAGTCCAAATTCAATATCAACTGATACATTTGAAAGCCTACTACTCATTAAAAAAGTAAATAATACTGCGTTAAATTGATAAAGGAATAGTAGTTGAATTTTTCCACAATGGCATGGGTAAACCTTAAGTTTCCATTAAATTCCACATATATTTGCTTCCCAAAAGGCCATTCTCGTCCAGGGTGGACTGCAGTTTACACCCCCAGGGAGACTCGAACCGTGACATTGCAGCGTATAATCTTGATACGCTAGCAATGCGCCACATTCCCCCGAATGTCCTCTGGGCATAGATCAAATGTGAATTTCAAGGAAGACTAGGCATTTTGAGTCCCGTTGGGGGTATTGTTGTCCACCTTGGATGAGAATACCTTTCGGGAAGCAAGACCATGTGAAATTCAATGAAACTTAATGTCTACTCGTGTGATTTTGGAAAAATTCTACTACCAGTCTCCTTATCTCCTTAAAACAAATTCGGTGCATACATCTAATAGATATGATCTATTGGTAGTCTCAAAAACTTACTTATAAACAAAACATAACCTTCACCTATCCTTTCGGGAGCAAAACGAGGCGGAATGTGAATATGAAGACCAAGATGGTGTGACCTTGTGTTTGGTAACATTCTCATTTAGCTTTCACAACTTGATCCGAGCGTCAGAGAGATCTTGTGAAATGTACCTAGTCACGAACACTATGGCAGACGACACAAGACTAGGTACGGTCCACAAGTTCTTACTGACGCTCCAACCATGTTGTGAAAACGAAGTGGAACCAACAAGTCTACGTGAAATTTAACGGTATCCTGAGGCTTACTCGTATAATTGTAGAAAAAGAGCTATCTGATAATTTCGAATTCTACTCACTCTGCTAATAAGTAAATTAGTCTATTATAATAGCAAATACAATTTATTTGCTTGAAAATTTCTCTCCAAAAATATTATTATTAAAATTCACATCTCCCCTGAGTCCAACTGGCATCCGTGGTAGTATACTGTTGAGATCCCATGTCGAAAGTATGTGTTGTACTACCACAACCAAGGTTTATTCCCATTGGAGCCGAGGATTAAGCCAAACCTGCAGTCCACTCCAGTCTAGTCTGGGTGGGAATATCTTTTGGAAAACAAGGCTATTTGAGATTGAATGGTATCGTGAGGACTATTTATGTGATTGTGAAAAAAGTCAACTATCGGTCCTTCGTCACCTTATGCGTTCTATGGTGATTAAAGTTATTATTTAAGATAATTTCGAAACCTATTCAATCCGAATTTCACTTCTTAAATTACACTACTCGACTTAGGCCGACTAAGATATGATTCAACGAAAGGACCTAACTTGATCTGCCATTGGTTGATGTCGCGTTTCGGTATGTTCGCCTCCGGAGGACACTTCTCCAGCCTCCTCAGTCGCTTTGCAGTCTTCCCTCTGCAAACCCCTCCTGCAGCTGCTGTACCCGCAAACGTTTCCCCGCCCTCGTTCGCACACTCACCAACGTTGGCAACAGCACGGCTGAGTGACTCTCCATTCTGGTCGTCTAACTGGTCCACTTGGCTCTTGAAGCCATTCGACCCCGACAGTCGGGCTCTCGACTCGTCACTTTGTTCCACGACTCTCTTCACGTGCTCTCGATGGTGCTTGAATTGTTGGCCTCTTTGATGGCGTTGATTGTACTGCTGCTGCTGTTGCTGCTTCTCCTTTTGTTGTTCTTGGTGTTGTTGTTGTTGATGATGATGATGATGACGATGATGATGAGGGTGTTGTTGAGCTTGATTGTTCAGATGATGATTTTCATATTCCCTAATCTGTTCCAGGCTTTGCTGTTGTTGGTGCCGTTGCTTGTACAGGAGTCGTCGTGGCGTTTGTCGAGGTTTTGGCGACTGTTGATATTGTTGATGGTGAAAGGATTGATGTGACGCCTGATTTG